GGCATAAACATCTAAGTTGAATGTTTATGCCGAACATATACAACGGCATAAACGTCTAAGTTGAATGTTTATGCCGAACATATACAACGGCATAAACTTCTAAGTTGAATGTTTATGCCGAACATATACAACGGCATAAACATCCAAGTTGAATATTTATTAATCGAGATCAATAGTTCAGATCAATGCAGTATGTTCGTGAACACGTGGTACAGTGGTAGAAACCACAGACGTCAAGTGCGTAATGGATCGATTCTCGCCGAACAATTTTTTATATTTTCGTACACAGAAATATTCGGAAATTACTAATTCTTTTTTTTTCTCCGAAAATATTTCCTCAGGTTGAAAGCAAACGGAAGATTCCTACTTACTTTAGCCAAATGTTTATGCGGAACATATATTCACCGCCATAAAGATCTGAGTTGAACGGCTATGCCGAACCGAGTCAACGGCATAACCATCCAAGTTGAATGGTTATGCCGAAGACAGTCAACGGCATAATCATCCCTGTTGAATGGTTATGCCGAAGGCAGTCAACGGCATAATCATCCATGTTGAATGGTTATGCCGAAGGCAGTCAACGGCATAATCATCCATGTTGAATGGTTATGCCGAAGACAGTCAACGGCATAATTATCCAAGTCGAATGGTTATGACGAAGGCAGTCAAAGGCATAATCATCCATGTTGAATGGTTATGCCGAGGGCAGTCAACGGCATAATCATCCATGTTGAATGGTTATGCCGAAGGCAGTCAACGGCATAATCATCCATGTTGAATGGTTATGCCGAAGGCAGTCAACGGCATAATTATCCATGTTGAATGGTTATGCCGAAGGCAGTCAACGGCATAATCATCCATGTTGAATGGTTATGCCGAAGACTGTCAACGGCATAATCATCCAAGTTGAATGGTTATGCCGAAGGCAGTCAACGGCATAATCATTCATCTTGAATGGTTATGCCGAAGGCAGTCAACGGCATAATCATCCATGTTGAATGGTTATGCCGAAGGCAGTCAACGGCATAATCATCCATGTTGAACATTTATGCCGAACATATACAACGGCATAAACATCTAAGTTGAATGTTTATGCCGAACATATACAACGGCATAAATTTCTAAGTTGAATGTTTATGCCGAACATATACATAAACATCTAAATTGAATGTTTATGCCGAACATATACAACGGCATAAACATCTAAGTTGAATGTTTATGCTGAACATATACAACGGCATAAATATCCAAGTTGAATATTTATTGATTGAGATCACTAGTTCAGATCAATGCAGTATGTTCGTGAACACGTGGTACAGTGGTAGAAAGCACAGACGTCAAATGCGTTTTGGATCGATTCTCGCCGAACAATTTTTTTTATGTCTCCACCTTCCCTTTCGAGTTTATGAGGATCAAACTGCGTTGCATTAACCGAGCTTGGTTTACTGGCATGCAGGCACAAAATTTTAGACGACACTTTTATGGGAAAAATTTTGGCTATGAATATAGTTCATAGCCGCTTTATTGAAAATATTTAATGAAATAACATAATCTCTGACATCAAAATAATACTGAAGTCTAGATTGATTATATAAGTGTTCTATAGCCAGTAAAGGTGGCAGGAATATACGCGTTAAAAAGTTCATATATATATAATTATATACAATCAGATACAAAATAAATGCTTATGATATTGCTGGCAGGCCTGCGGGAGGAGGTGGGTAAATTCTGAGTTCTTCACTTGACCACTGATATTGGAGACTTGCAAAATATCTAAGTTATCTTGGTTTAATACCAAGAGATCGACCTTGATCTTGGCCCAGCTGTTACGTAGTTCAAGTGCTCTAAATTTCCTCCCTCTTCAACAGGCGCGCCAGGGATTAACATTAAATATAATTAAATTGTTACTCACTTATCTAATTAGTTCAGGTGTGACATAAAAACCCATATTTCGTGGGAAATATTTCTATTTATGTCTCCACCTTCCCTTTCGAGTTTATGAGGATCAAACAGCGTTGCATTAACCGAACTTGGTTTACTGGCATGCAGGCACAAAATTTTAGACGACACTTTTATGGGAAAAATTTTGGCTATGAATATAGTTCATAGCCGCTTTATTGAAAATATTTAATGAAATAACATATTCTCTGACATCAAAATAATACTGAAGTCTAGATTGATTATATAAGTGTTCTATAGCCAGTAAAGGTGGCAGGAATATACGCCAAAGGCTTTGCAATTCGCCCTAACCATCTAGGGACGAATCAAAAGTCTCCCCACCCGAGAGAATGCAACGCTACATGGCCTCAACCATACACGTATGACTTTACATATTAGAAAATTCTGAAAGAACGTCACGAGATATAACCTCAAAAATTATGAAAGTTGAAGGCAGTCGCCCTTGCAGACTGCTCCAAAACTAGCATACTCGATATATGGAAACTGGTATAAATGTATACCTAGCGAAGTCGTTGATCAGCCGCCCTTGCAAGCTGTCTGAAACATGTTTTACAACGTGATAGCAGTAGCCCCTGCCAACTGTCTTGTCATTATTAAACTGAGTATTACGAAAAAATGGCAGCTGCCCTTGCTAACTGCTGAAACAAGCCTTAAGTATATAGCACAAAGCGAGTTGCACAAACAGACAATAATTTGGCAAACCTAAGAAAAACGTGGCAGAAAGGTATTGTCAGCCCCTGTATGACAACATCGCCCTGCCACCCTTAAAGCCTCCACCGGACAACACCCCGCATTGTTGTCCAGGGGAGGGTTAAATATCTATAATTTATGACGCTGTAAGGGTTGAAACTCGAATGTATTTGTGAAATGCATTGGACTTCCAACGACCCAAGACGCGAATCTGCGCATCAGACAAGCCCTGCTCAGCTGCGAATGATGCTGCGCCAATTCGGAAACTGTGAGATTTATAAACCGTAGGATTGAGGTTGCAAAATTTTAAGCATTGATTGAGATAGGAAATAAACATGTTTCTCGGCACCGTCGCCCCCACAGGAGTCATGAAAATTGGCCTAGGAGAATTGCCACGGCGGGTCAAATAATTGCACAAAAGTTGTACAGGGCAAGGCTTGGGGGTTGGCTGACGATAAATGGCCATGGAAAACGGGCGTTGGTTGTAATTGTGTTTATAGTCGGTGAAGGTTATTTTAAAACCAATTACTTCACCGTCTCTTAAGAGTTTGGTGAGTTGGTTTAAATGTAGTGGAATAGGAGACTGCTTTGATGTTGAAGTTAGTTCGCCAATACGTAGAAAGGCGAAGAATGCCAGAGCACACATGGCTTTAAATTGGCATTGATCATATGTAGTGGTAATACACTGTGAAGCAGCCATAAGTAATCGGGTAAGGATTGGAAGGGTTATTGGTAACCGACTATCCAAGCGAAAGCCCAGTTTTCCATGGCCCTTTAGCATTTGCATAATGAAAAAGGCTTTTGTTGGGTCAGTCAAATTGAAAAGTTTATGTGAATACCCGATAGCGGAGACATATGTGTTGACAGTTGCGGGGGCGTACCGCCGATCAAACATGTATGCAATGAAAAGTGCCAAAGTATGAGGTGAAATAGGCAATGTGTATGAAATAGTATCGGATATATGTAAATAGAACTGGTCAAAAAGTTTCCAAGCGCGTTGATAAGTAAGAATCGAAGAGCGCTGCAGACTGGATCGTGTCAAGAGGGAAACTATATTTCCCAATTTCGTGGCAGCAGAGCTTGAGGGATGTCTGTTGCGCAAGAATTCATCGAGGCTGATGTTTCGCGTTGAAAGGTTTGAACCTGAAAGCGAGACAACAGGTCAGCCAAACGATTATACGTCCCAGGGATATGCTTTGCTTTGAATAGAATATTATGTTGCAGGCATACAAGAACAAGTTTCCGAACAAACTGCATCAGAATCTTGTCCTTGCATGACTGTTTATTGATGACATAAACCAAAGCTTCGTTATCGGTGAAAAATAAAACACTGTGGTTCGCCATCTTATGACCCCATAAGCAGAGACTAAGTACAATCGGATAAAACTCTAAGATCGCGATGTTACGATAACGCCACTCGTCAGGCCAGAGGCCATGGCAATATTCTGTGCCAAAAATTGCGCCGAAACCAATTCCACCCGCAGCATCCGTGAATAAACTAAGTTGCTGAGAATTTGCCCAGCGTTCCTCGAGAAAAAATGACCGGCCATTGTAATTTGCTAAAAACGATAGCCACACATTTAAGTCTTGTTTTGTCTCGCGATTAAGCCTGATAAGGTGATGAGATAAACGGATGCCGTGGGTGACATCAATTAAGCGACGCAAGAATGCCCTGCCGGGAATGATGACAGAACATGCAAAATTTAAAAGGCCAATTAAAGATTGAATTTCCCTTAA